AAACTGGCTTAAGCATGTGCAAAGAGGCTACAGCAAGAAATGAAGTGAGACAGTTTCGAAGTAGTGCATAAGAATGTTTGATGTGCTTGGCAAAGATGCTCCCTGGTTTGGACTTGGTTTCTCATCAATCAGATATGAGAATTATATGAGAGGAATTTAAAATCCAGCACTGGAAGTCTAATTACCAACCTGAGATAGTGCTGGCCTAATGTTACACTCCTAATCCCCCAGACAGGCAGATCAGACCAAGAAGAACTATGTTGAAAGGGCATAAGCACAGGTCAATTAAGCGATGCTAAGAGAAGACCTATCTACTTTGCTTGTCTCCTACATAGATTCCAGTATCCTTACTCCACAGAGTACCTAGTAGGCTCTGAACAATTCTGGATCAGGGAAGGATGATACATCTTGGGAGACTTGGTGCCTTCTCTCTTAGGCCCTGTACATGAACACTACTCATGTCTGGTTACAAATGGGTCTCCCTCTCTTTATTTGGAAGGCCAGGACTGGAGCTCATGACAACTACACATGGGCTTTGCCATATGGGAGTTCGTTGTGCTGAAAAATACTTGGGATTCTACTCACCTTTCTTGACAGCACCCTGATTTTGATCTCCAATGAAGACACACATGAAAAACCACATGAATCTGAAAACAGGCATCGAGAGAGAATGGTTCAATTTAGAATTTTTCAACCTTGACACTGTCCTCTGAGGGTTTATTTTTACACAAGTCATGCAGCTGGTGATTGCTATTTTCAGGTTCTAAAAGCAGCAACTATTTTGCTGGTCTTTGCTTGTTTCTTTCACCTTCTGCTTTCTGCCCTAGAGTTCCTTCCAGCCCAAATTATTCAACCCTTCTTATGATCGATGCTTTTTGAAAAGAGTTTGGAAAATGAATTTCAGCTCAGTTTTGTGGTGCAAATCACCCAGCCTCCAGGGGTTTATAATGTCTTGGTTAATAAAGATTCTGGAGATTCAACCCAGAGGTCTGTGTGAAGTTGGAAAGAAAGCAGAACAACTCAGCCAAGATGTATTTAATTTTTAAAACAACCATTAAGTTCCACACTTAAGCTTCTGAATTTCCTTTTTATATTTCTTAAGAGACAATGAATAGCTTCAATTTGAGAGGGTGATCATTGTGAAACAGTGCAGAATGACAGCATTTCATTTCATATATATCAATTTTTTCCACAAGTTCGCTATTCCTGCATTCAATGAGGCTAAGTGGTTTTCTCTGAACCGGCGTTGGTCAACATTATTATCAACTTTGTGATGAAAAATATCCTTGCATATCAAACCTCCAGCCTCCCTCACATGCTTAGCTCATTTTACTCTCAAATGCTTGGCCTTATAAGTGATTGCTATGATTCAGTTTTGAGTGAAAGAATTGCTCATTTCCAGTCTGTGATAATTATTGTATAAGGCTTAGATTGTTCTATACAAACGAGAGCAAATTATCCATCAGTGATGAAGATAATGGCTAGTAGTTCCTCGATCTCTCCTCATCGCTCCTATTACCCATCCCCTCACTTCACGCTCTGCAGGCATGAGAATAATAATCTTCACAAAACTTTTTGCTGAGTGAAGTTTCAGGTTGTGCCTAACTACATAGTGATAGCAATTGGCCGTGTAATTTTTTCTTACATTCCAAGGAAAGGAGGATTTATTAACTTCATTGAACAACATTGTCACATTAAAATTGTGTTGAGTTTCATCAAGCTTATGTGACTGTCAGTACATGTTTCTTTACTTTTGCAACTTACAGTGAATGCAGATAAAGAGTCAAAGTGCTTGCATGTGACAATAAAATGCATGACAGTATTAAGTAGCTTGCCTACCTCTGCGCTGCATGGTGTATTTTCAGAGCATAGCAGAGAAGTGTATCGATTTTTCACATTGGCAAGACCTTTATGAGAAATGTTACTCACAAACTCTGAAGTCATTTTAATGTAAGACTTCAGAAATAATCTGCTTGTAGTCACAATGTAAGCTGGAGTTTCTTTTAATAACTAATCTAAGGGATCTACTCAACATTTTCCCTCTATTTAGCACCTGAAAAATGGCAGACTCTTTGGAAAATAGGTAAGACTGAAAAATCCATTCACTTGTCTGCTATGCTCTGAAAATTAGTTGTATGCACAGCTATTATACATAATTATGATTTCAAACTATAGCTTGAAGCTATTAATGTTTCTCCATTCTTTTTTGCTTTGTTTGTAGTGACCTTGTATCTTATTCTAAGGATTAAAAATTGTTAAATTGGATACAGAATGAACAAAACATATGAAGTAGTACAGCAGTGCTTGTGACTTACTATCTTATTTGTTTCCATTGTTAATCAATTGATGAACCTGGAAGAGAAATGATTATATCCTTTATAATGTCATCAATGAAGTATTCATTGATTGATTAAAAATAACAAATTCTTGTTCACACTTTAAGGAAGGCATCTCATCATGTTTAAATATCCTCAGTGTGAGTTGGTAGTTCAGAGACTCTGTTTTAGTTAAATCTCAACTTAGTTAAATATAAACTGCATGACCTTGGCGAGCCACCCAACGTCCCTGAACTTCAGCTCCTGCATGTGACATGATACCTACTCCACAGAGTTGCTGTAAGAACTCAGTGAGATGAGTTGCACAAATTTTATTTATTTGTTTTTTTTTGAGACGGAGTCTTGCTCTGTCACCCAGGATGGACTGCGGTGGCGCCATCTCTGCTCACTGTAAGCTCCGCCTCCCGGATTCACACCATTGTCCTGCCTCAGCCTCCTGAGTAGCTGGGACTACAAGTGCCCGCCACCATGCCCGGCTAATTTTTTGTATTTTTAGTAGAGATGGTTTTCACCGTGTTAGTCAGGATGGTCTCGATCTCCTGACCTCATGATCCACCTGCCTCGGCCTCCCAAAGTGCTGAGATTACAAGCATGAGCCACTGTGCCCGGCCGAGTTGTACAAACCTTTAACTCAATGTCTGGAAGAGAGTTGTGTGCTTAAAAGACACTCATTTTCTTTTTTCCTGAAGCGATGGAAGAAATTTTCTAGGATCCTTTTATCTGTAATTTTCAGCTTTCAACGGGAAAGAGAAATCAAGACAAAGTAATAACTTATACAATTCTCTGTCATTCCAGGAATGTGGCTGGAGGCCCTGAAACGTTCTCCTTTGCAACTCTACTACTGACTTCAGATTTTGGGCATCCTCACAATGAAGTACTCTTCCATAGTAGCCTGTGAACCTATGGCTGGGAGAAGCCTGTAAACTAGTAATCCATTTTACAACAGGCAAGCCAGGCCCTAGGACCAAGGACTCAGGCCTTCAAACACCAACTGAGATACCCTCTGTGGTGGGAAGAGCGTAGCCACAACATTGTGGAAAGTAGTCATCTCATTAATTTCACCCCGTTCCTGGGAACACATGGTGAGTCACTGAGGGAGGGTCAGGACATTGAGGTCTGATATCTGGGAAGCATGCTATTGCTCACAGCACCCTCTTGTTTGGGTGTGTCGTTAGCTTCCAATTAGGGATTTCTGATGAGTCCTGACATAACGCTGTTTGCTTTGTGGATATTTAAAACGTAGCTTACCTGTAGCCCTCAAATATATGGAAATCCATTTTATCCCCTTGGGCTCCCCCATGTAAGCTAGTTTAAAAATGAGTCAGATCTTACAGCTGTTTTGGGACAGAAATACCACTGACCACTTGAAGCGATGTTGAAGTTGCTTATTTTTCCAGAGTCGAGGCAGTTTATTCATCCGTGTTCAGGTGGACCCAAACGAGCCATCATTCTGGTGTTTAAAATTCATTATATTGCAGTGAGATGAGATAAAATAGAATGATATCCTTGTAGCTTCCCCAAGCATAAAAAGAATAATTAAATATTATAGCACACTCTTCACACATCTCTTCATTACCAAACATTGGTTAAGTGCCTGCTTCCCCCAACTCTGCCTCCCCCTTATCCCTGATGGAGACAATGACCTTGAAGAGCCTTTAGTTTGTCCATAATTAAAATGCATTCTATCTGTAAGTATATGTGTGAAAATAAGTATCTTGTGAACATACTGAACAAATTGGGAGAAAGATACTGTATCCTTTCAAATTAACATTATGATAATTTTAAAAATTAACTAAGCCTTTTCCACTGGCATATTAATGAGACCTGGGAGTCACTATTACCCGTTGTTATTAAATTAAACATTTTAGGAATAAAGTTCATCCAATTTATTTAGGAAGGGTCTTGGCTACAAATACAGCTGCACTTAATTAGCTTCCAATTTGCTTTGTTGTTCCATGTTGCTGGAACATAAAGGGTGGGTCCCAGTGCCCTCTAGCCTTCCCACGGGCATCTTGTTTGAGTCAGTTGATTAATTTTGAGAGCCAGCTCAGACTCTGGATACAAGTCTCTGTGTCCTTTGTTCCTGTCAGGTGTTGTCATTGTCATCTTGAAACATATTCAAGGAGGCAACTTCCCAATGAGGGAATCAGTCACTCCGTTAGGTGTGGTAGAGTGACTGATTAAGTTATGTTTAAAAGATATTAAGTCCAGTAACAAACGAAACAGGGCATGGGCTTGTAATTGGTCCTGCTAGGGAGGGAGAGAGTGTGTGATGGTAAGATGGTGGCATCTTTGGTGTTACTGTCAGGTCAACACTCATCGTAAGCAAGATGAATGAAGGACAACGTGTGGGCTGGGATGACCAATAGCTTTGAAGCTGCCAACCAGCCCTCTTAATCAGACTAAGTACAGTACAGAAGACTTGTGATTTAGTTACCAAACTACTAAACTTTCTTTATGAGGGTGAAGGCTTCTTAAGAGACAATTAATGTGTAGATTCACAAGATGTTCTAAGGCAAGCTGGTCTGAGCCAAAGAAGCCAGGGGGACCAGGGAGAGAGCCCCACCCACCAGCAAGGATATATAAAATCTCAGGAGTCTGAAGTGACATTCACCACTCAGGAGGTAACTTCAGCAAGCTACCTGCAGCCCTCTGTCTGACATCATGTCCTTCAACTGCTCCACAAGAAATTGCTCTTCCAGGCCCATTGGAGGACGCTGCACTGGTCCAGTGACCCAAGTTACCACGACTTCCACCACTGATGCTGACTGCCTGGGCGGCATCTATTTGCCCAGTTCCTTCCAAACTGGCTCTTGGCTCCTGGACCACTGTCAGGAGACCTGCTGCGGGCCCACTGCTTGCCAGCCAACCTGTTACCAGCGAACTTCATGTGTCTCCAACCCTTGCCAGGTGACCTGCTCTCGAGAAACTACCTGTGTTTCCAACCCCTGCTCAACTACCTGCAGCCGACCGCTCACCTTTGTCTCTAGTGGATGTCAACCCCTGGGAGGTATCTCCAGTGTCTGCCAACCAGTGGGAGGAGTCTCTACTGTCTGCCAGCCAGCCTGTGGGGTCTCCAGGACATACCAGCAGTCCTGTGTGTCCAGCTGCCGAAGAACCTGCTAAGTGTGTAGGAGCCAGTGAGCGAATCAAGACTCCACGACCTGCCAGCTGTTTCCAGGATCTTCCAGCATGCTGCTTGTCCCTGAATAGCTCTTCATAGCTGACCCTTCTTCTGACTGCCTGATTACTGGCTACTAGCCATGCACACGCTGTCTTTGGGACTCTAAAACTTTTCTGGCCATCCCTAAGCTTGTTTTAAGGGTTGCTCACTGGTGCTGTGTATGCCTCTGGATGTATCCAGAAGCTTTACCACCACGCCCCAGTCTCTGATGCTTCTGACATGTTTTCACCTTGCTGCTGTATCTCCTGGCCTCTGCTTTTGTGTCTCTCAAAAATGGAGCTTGTCTTACCATGTATTTCTCAATAAACCTGCATTAGTTGGCATTGCAAATGTATGTCTCAGCAGAGTTCTTTTTTAAAAATTTCAACTTTTAATTTAGATTCTGGGGGGTACATGTGCAGGTTTGCTACAGCGGTAGACTGTGTGATGCTGAGGTTTGGGGTACAATTGAACCCGTCTCTCAAGTATTGAACACAGTACCCAATAGGTAGTTTTCCAACCCTCTTCCCTCTTCCTCTCTCCCCGCTCTTGCAGTTGCAGCGTCTATCGTTTTTATCTTTATGTCCATGTGTACCTAGTGTTTAGTTCCTACTTATTGGTGAGAATAGGTGGTATTTGATTTTCTCAACAGAGCTCCTTGTTTGCAAGAGTCTTTGCTGATCAGGGTCAGAATTTTTTTTTTTTTTTTTCCTGAGCCTAGAATATGGGCTTAATCATTATGCCCTGTGACCAAACAAAGGACTATCTTATATTTTACTTGTTCAGAGAGAGTCTTCAGCTGTGTGGTGAAGTAAGGGTTATGATATTTTTCTTTCCTTCTTTTTTCTTTTCTTCTGTTCTCTTTTCTTTTCTTTTCTTTTTTTGAGACCGAGTCTTGCTCTGTCGCCCAGGCTGGAGTGCGGTGGCGCGATCTTGGCTCGCTGTAAACTCTGCCTCCTGGGTCCAAGCAATTCTCCTGCCTCAGCCTCCAGAGTAGGTGGGATTACAGATGTTCACCACTCTGCCTGGCTAATTTTTGTAGTTTTAGTAGAGACAGGGTTTCACCACATTGGCCAGGCTGGTTTGGAACTCCTGACCTCAGGTGATCTGCCGCCTCGGCCTCCCAAAGTGCTGGGATAACAGACCAGGGCTATGAGATTTCTAGGAGTAAATTGTCTTCTATGCCTCCTTCAATTTCTAGGGACACATGGAATAGCTTTCATGTAGGAAAAAGAAAAGTTACTCAGAAAACCAGGTATTTCAGAAAGGTGTGCTGGGAAGGGAGCAGCGGGATCACTGAGAGGTGCTGAGTCTTATTTAGTTAAAGGATCACAATAGTAACCTTTGGAAAAGATCCCTCCTTGATCAACTGGGATGGAAGGAGAAGGAGAAAGGAAGTCACTTTTCAGGCCCCGAAATTCATCACATCAAAAGAGTGGTTCTAGCTTTATACCCCCTTGCTCGTGGTGGTAGACTGGTAGAATCGCCCAATCGGGTATACCAGTTGATTGGTCGAGTCAGAGCCCTGAGAAAATTAAAGCTCTGAGTTTTAGTAAATCTGGGCAGGAGAGACTTAAAAAGAAGCTTAAAAACCTGTTGGCTTATATTACTACTTAGCCATACTTCTTGCTTGCTCTTCCCTGGAACTCGTGTACTAAATAAAACAAACCATCTGGATAGGTGGAGGTTGACACGCTAAGTCCTTTTGCCATTTTTTTTTTTTTTTTAAGAAAGTGAAGACTGGCTACCAACTGGTTTGCTTTTGCCCTTCTCATTTATTCTGTCCAGAAAAACATCTTGATTTTCTTTTCAGAGTTGCTTAAGGAGATACAAAAGCACATGATTTTTACACAAAATGGAGACATATGAGGTACACGTGCTGTCAACAATGGGTGTCTTTTTTCGAAACAGAAATGCTGGTGCCTCGTGGAGAATTTGATCTCATGCTGTGTTGTCAGTGCAAAATGGATTTCTTATTTCTCTGATGGTTTTTCAGAGGCAAAATGTATAGATGATTTCCGTATAGAGGCAATATTTTTAATTTTTCCAATTGATGACTATACTCTTAGTATTCCCCTAATAGGATCATGTTAGTATGTACAGCTCATGGTAATATTTCAACAAAGCAAGACATGGTTTTTAGTCTATATTAGTTTCATGCCCTCTCTTTTTAAAAGAAGAACTCTGGCTTTTGGAAATGCTCTGATTTATTTTAAAATAGAAATCACTAGGGGAACTCTACCTTGCCCTTTCAAAGCTGTTATTACATGATTCTCATTTGTTATTTATTTTAGTTACTTCACATATAATTTGGAAAATTCCCACTTTTTAAGAAGGTGACAGATTAATTTTTTTTTTTTAACTTTCAGCTTTCTAGATTTCAATAAAAAATATAAAGACAGAGGTACCTTCTTTATCTTTTTATTTAGATGGTTACTTGGCTCTAATAGATAACTTTTCTATATTAATAATATATAAGAGCATAGCCTTTACGGTCAGATATGAACAAGCTTTTGCGTGGACTATTTATTGTGACAATGTGAACATTTAAGGCTGTGGTAGCTGTCTTGCAAAGCTATTTTCTTGCCTTCATTTCTGTTTGGGGAATCATCTTCTTTGCTATTAGAGCTATTCTATTTGTACTTGAACTTTGGAAGTTCTCTCCATTCTTCGCCTTATTACATAATAAATTGTAAAGTTTCAAAGTTTGCTTTTGAGAACAGTCTTTTAAAAGACAGGGCAGTGATGATTTCTTTCTCTTCATTTACGGCCTAGAAATGCAATTTGTATCCAATATCTCACAGCTGCAGGGAAGGAGCATAACTTTTCCTGGTTCTGCCACTTGGGTGCAGGGTTCGTTGATATTTCTAAGCCTTAGTTAGCTCATCTGTGTGTGAACCGTAGATAATGGTAGCATCTCACACCTTTGTTTTCAGGAGTAAATTGAGGTAATATACATGTAACCCAACTGTCAGCTGAGCCATCCTGTCATTTAACATTGAAACAAAACTAGCTCTCTTATCTCCTTTTGCTGTTTGGTGGAAGTCTTGGCTGCTCCCAATATTTCCGAGGAATCTGAGAGTAGAGAGGTTGGGGAAAGATGTCTAACTTGTTTCTTATCTTCTTGGGCTCTGAGCTTCTACTTTAGAAGAATTGGTTCATTTCATGAATTTTCTTTTTTATTTTATGGCCGGCTTCTGTTCAGACTGCCGTGATTCAGATATTTACACTTCCTTTCCATGATTTTCACTACGATCCACTTACACAAGGCATTTGTGTTTCTAACACTTTTATAGAAAGTTTGAGGCCGGGCGTGGTGGCTCACGCCTGTAATCCCAGCACTTTGGGAGGCCCAGGCGGGCGGATCACGAGGTTAGGAAATCGAGACCTGGCTAACACGGTGAAACCCCGTCTCTACTAAAAATACAAAAAAATTAGCCAGGCGCGGTGGCCTGTAGTCCCAGCTAATTGGGAGACTGAGGCACGAAAATGGCGTGAACCCGGGAGGTGGAGCTTGCAGTGAGCCCAGATCATGCCACTGCACTCCAGCCTGGGCGACAGAGAGAGACTCCGTCAAAAAAAAAAAAGAAAGAAAGTTTGAGGACACAGAGAACATTTATACTCTAGTGATGATAACAACTTAAATCTAATTTAAATTTTTTTATCATGGTAAAATATGTATGTAGCATAAAAGTTGTCATTTTAAGTATTTTCAAGTGTATAATTCAGTGGTATTAAGTAAATTCACAATATCAGGTCACTATTTCCAGAAGTTTTTCTCCATCCCAGACTGAAGTCTCTCGGCCATTGTCTTCGGGACTTTATCTCAATGTCCCAGCTCAAAATCCAATTTCTCCCTCTTTTTCTCCCTTCTTTTCCTCCCTCCCTTCTTCCCTTCCTGCCACCTTCTCTCACCCTCTCCTTTTTCTATTTTCTCTCTTCGACTCCTTTCCTCCCTCTCTTCTTCCCTTCCTGCCACCTTCTCTCACCCTCTCCTTTTTCTATTTTCTCTCTTCGACTCCTTTCCTCCCTCTCTCCCTTCTAACTTTCTTTCAACAAACATTAGAATACCTCTCATGTTCCTGTTATCCCAGCACTTTTGGAGGCCAAGGCAGGTGGATCATGAAATCAGGAGATTGAGATCATCTTGGACAACATGGTGAAATCCCGTCTCTACTACAAATACAAAAAAATTAGCCAGGCATGGTGGTGCATGCCTGTAGTCCCAGCTATTCGGGAGGGTGAGGCAGGAGAATCACTTGAACCTGGAGGTGGAGGTTGTAGTGAGCCAAGATTGTGCCACTGCACTCCAGCCTGGTGACAGAGCGAGATTCTGTCTCAAAAAAAAAAAGAATACCTCTAATGTTTCAGTTTCTATGCGAGGTGCTGGTTATGCAGTGGAAAACAAAACCATTACTATTCCTGCTCTCCTGAAACTCACAGTTGGGTTGTGAAGGACAAACTCACTGATTCTTCACTATTTTCTCCTATGTTTTGCTCCCCTTAGGGCTTCACATTTTACTTCCAAATGCCTTACTTTTCTCCAGTGTATATAAAGGCTTACCAAGATGCTACATCTTGCAAGTTCTCAGTGAAGGATGGAAGGATATTCTATCCTTTTACTTATATGTTGCTTGCTTATAATGACACTATGATGAAAGCTGAAAGTATAACCTACCTTTGGAATATCTGACTTTAAATCTGAGGGGTCTAAAGCTTATAAGACTCAAAAGAAGGTATTGAGATTTGGTCAAATAGTAGGAATGAATACTTTACACATTGGGACACAGCCCAGAACAGTCCCTTTAAAGCTATTCATGTAGATAGATAAAGGTGGGCTCTGATCTTCGACTTCATCCTTGGTAAATACCTAGGCTTGGTCTTTTTAGATTTTTTGAAAACTCCTACCTGTGCTTAGGAGTTTGTAAATGGCTTCCTATTTGAAAGGCTTTGTGTTTGCTTT